ATTGATCATTATTTTAAATTTAATATAGAGAGACTGTATAAAAATCGAAAATAAATAAACAATCAACTAAGTCAATCCACTTTTTGATCTCGTAGGTGATTTAACAGATGTTGTAGCATTGAAGTCAACACATAGTAATTAATTTAAAATTCCTTTAAGTTAAATATATATAAAAAAAATCATTACAATAATATGAATATAATGTAAATCTACAAGTATGAAAGATATAGTCATCCACTCAAAAGCAACAGTCGAGCGAGGCAATCTATCAGAGTAAATCTATGATATATTTACAGACACTGAATGCATTATCACCATTCCTAAATCAGCTATCAACGGACTCTTTTCACTAAAAGGGTGAGGTTCACTATAGAAAAGGTTGACCCCTCATAAAGACTTATCACCTCATATACAAAATAAGGTTGTACTAATCCTGCCTATATCGAACGATATGAAAAGTTATGTTCAAAGATTTAAAGATGAAATTTGTTTGGACGCGATGCAGTAGATGGGATCTCGTCAAAGTTAGCGGTAGTTTTTTCACAACAATCTCCTCTCGGACTTAACTTATGTTATCTCACCCACGAACGTCACAAGGAATAGAAACCCGCACGTATATAATAAGGACGATATTTCTAAAGAAATTTAAATTTGCCCGCAAAGGTCCCGAGATAGGATTAAAGATTGGGCGGCAAGATGGCCCTTTTGTGGCGACCCTTAAGAAAACATGTCTTGATATGGAAATATCTTGGACTTAATCGAGAAATCATTTGTGTGGGCAATCATTTATCAAGAAAACGGTTCATGAATGCGTAATTAGCTGGCAAAGGTTAGGGATTTCTAAATTGTACGTAGGTTGGACCTTTTTTGTTGTTCACTGCGCGACTGAGCAAATAAAAAGCGTGTCGTAACCCGAATACATCTGACCGAACAGTTTGCGGTGCGGTAGACCATACACGTTCAAGTTTGAGAGGATAATTTTATCAACGGACATGCTCGCTGCATGAGGGGATCAGAAAATCGATATAAGTGACCAAAACCGCAACTGATATTATGTTCACAAACAAAACGATTATTTCAATCGATTCACGCAGTGTAAGACTACGTACTCGTATGTTGGATTTTAAACGGGGAATGATATGAAACCGTGTTGTAAATCTATTTCCTTACAAATATTTAACATGGCGGTCCCAATAATTTGAATACGAAACACCATAACCAACCCGACAATCCTTCATTAATTTGTAAGCCAAACAAAAGAGACCAAATACTGGACTCGTGTACACTTGATCCAATATTTGTTTTGATACAAATAAGTGACGGCCATCGGTTTCCAACGTTTTGTGATGTTAATGACTGTAGCAACACCTTGTGGACATAGTATCCATGTACTGAATAGGCTCTTTGTTGAAATGTTAATGACACCGAAACTAAATAAAATAAATATGGAAATAACGTATGCCCATAAAAATATTTTCAAGCTGATGTACTGAAGTATGAGGACGGCTCGAATATTGGTTCCAAATTACTAAATATAACTGTTTACGACTCAGTCAAAGGACACGCGATAGGCACGAGATAATGTTCCCCTCACCTTTCACACAAAACCACGACGTCACATCTAAAATTAAAACCCACTTATTTAAAACCAGCCACTTAGCCACCTTCCCGTCTATACAAAAACTAAAAATATCCACGACCATTGTGTCATGTTCAAAGAAGTTCCATAGGTCACGGCGAACCCATGAGCATGTACCACGTGTCAGGAACACGCCAAACATTTTTTATCTTTGAAAAAATCATAAAAGGCCGCTTCTAACAATAGGACCTCGGTAGCATCTTTGACAATTATAATATCATTTTGTTGTTCATGGAAAACCATTAGCGCCATTCTTCTATCGTTTAATGTTGAACTTTAAACGGATGAATAGAAAGCCGAATATTACATATCTGATTTAGAAAATCTTAGCTCTTTTGTTGGTTACGTAGTCATGGTTAACACAGGGGTCATCACAAAAGGCGAATGACAACAATGCGCGTACGTCAATCGTGCGCTCATGCAAATAATTTTTTTCATCCAAAACATCCCCTTTATCTGTTCATACAGCGATGGGGTTAATTAATATGTACAAAATAATACAATTAAAATTAAGATCCCTTTTTTAAGTTGGCACGAGGTCACGACTTACTGTCACCATTAAAGTTATGGCCTTGTTTTGACAATGAGCTATCGTATATGAATGCGGTTTAAAAGTTCAGTGGATTTATGGCATAGTTTCTTTTGTTTCTGTTTATCAATTTAATAAATGGTGATATTTTCATTGTAGCGAGCCCGGATCCCTTGCTTTATTGAATATGGCTGGTCTGACAGCTCACTCGAAGGGGTTAATATGAACGGTTAGGATAAACTCAATAAGCCGAAACAACGGGTGTTGGAGGAAACCTGCAATTGACATTTGTACGAAATAGCACGGTATTTAGTAAATAAGTATAGAGTTAAAGAAAATATTGAATAGCAGCAGCTTGCATGATAATTGGATTAAGTATTATATAACGAGTACTAAAAAGTTAAAGTTAACATTTATGCTATACTAAGTGGTAGGAGATTGATATTTGTTCTATCTATATTAATATTACAAAGGAAGGATATGATTGTTTATTTGTAATGAATAAGTTCATAAACTATTTAACCGACTTCAATATTTCGTAATTTTATACGTAAAAAGCTGTAGCTTTTTACGTACTCCCTAATCTATCTTACTCCCTAATAATATATTATTAGGGAGTAAGATAGGTCAGGTCGGATCACTAGTAGTATCTTAAAAATAGTTTTTTCTTTAAAAAAAAATATCGCTACATTTTTATACTTAATTTTGTTAAATAAATAAATTACAAAAAATTAAATTATTAATTATAAATTATGTTTAATTTATACATACAAATATTAAAAATTTACTCTTTCTAAAATGGTACTCTACTTGACAAATTTTAATATATTTATGCACTAGGCTGTCTATGAATAATTTAATACTAGTTTAATTAAAGGCGTTTCATCAAATTCCCAGCAATACAAAGCGGTTGACAATATGCGGGTAGAAATTTACGAAGTGAGCACATTTTCGGTAAGAAAGCTTTTGTTGTGCAACGGTTTAATACAAAAGTGTCAAATGACGGCACATCTGCCGACACAAAGGGTTACGCTCACGGATAGATTATTTTTCGAATCACCCCCGCAAGATTGCGCTTATACAGATGTTCGGGTTCCTTTTTTATATTTAATTTTGTTAAACGGTTAAAGGATTAGTGGACCCTCCTTAAGATTGTCGACTTTTAATAAGTCGCTATTTTTAAAATGTAACTGTTACATCGAGTTTTATACGATTCTTGTTGTATGAGTACAACATACCATTTTGCTTTTTTATTAGAATTATTTGAATTTTTTATGCGAAATATCTGTATCATTTTATGACTAATATGTAAGCTAAAAATAATTTTAAGGTTCGCAAAAAACAAATGTCAATATTTTGATTGAAAAAAAATCAATATTTTGATTTAGAAGCTAAACTACTAAACTGATTTTGATATAATTTCCATGGGATTAGACTGTAATTATATCCTTTCATATGAAAAAATAATTTTCCAAATCTGTTTATAACTGTTGGAGTTATGAAGTAATGAATATAAAAAATAGAACCGAATTAAGTATCTCTTTCCTTTCGGAGTCGGTTGAAAATAGAGTGCCTTCAATCTAAGTAGATACTCATTTCTAATAATTCAATGAAGTTTGCAACCAAACAAGCTAAAATTATTTGGAAATTAAATTATTACTTACATTTTTTTTTTGGTTGTAATAAGAAACTAGTACTTTGGCTATAATTTTACATGGATTGAGAATACAGGATTTATATATATTTATTTCAAAATATAGACACGGGGTTTAAATTTATTATATATATGTTATAATAATAAAATAAAATATAATAAAAGAGTTACACATTCACCCTCAATTTTATAAATTATATTGTCGTAACATTCTTTTAAGCCGTGTGTGACCGTTCAGAAACGAGATTAAGTCAATCTCGAATGTATGGATTCTGGATGAGTCTGCATTTTCCGAGTCCAGTATTGTAGTTGTGCAACATGCACAACAGACAAAGGCGCCAGAACGTGAAGATAAAATTGTCTCTAGAATCCTTTTACGTCACCCAATTGCAGGAATCATTAATAATAACCAAACGCTGGACCGTGAAAAGGCGATGACGCGGAATATAGAAATAAAAAGGAATTTGTCAGTTGCACGTGTCTTTTCCGTTCCCAGTCGTATATGGGATGAATATAAATATAAGTATGATCTAAGATATATAATATGTATTGAAAATATTATGCGAAACATTTATTAATTTTTTATTTGATAATATAAATGAAGTTTAATTTATTATTATTATTTTTGTTGTATATCATAATTGTAATTACTTATATAATGTATAAGTAAGTAACTTTTAAATTTTCTCTTCTCAGTTGAAACAATAAAATCGATTTCATTTACTTTAGCAAATAGTAGGATCAATAGAAGATTTATTTATTTTATATAAAATAAATAAATCTTAAATAAATAAATTATAAATAAGTTATATAATAAAATAAAATAAATAAATTATATAATTATGCAATTTAAAGACGATGATGTTTAGCTGTTATATACAACGTTAAAATTTTATTTCATTAGAAATTATTAATTGTGATTAAACTATAGATATTTATTTACATAACTATTTAACTGTGATTATGAATTATAGATTCCAATGTTTATGATTTACAGTTTTAACAATTACTAAAAAGATGTTATTAAATATATACAGATACGTTGAGTAAATCGAAATCCAATTATCTCTAGCTTAAAGATTTTTAAATATATTTTAAAGGATATGCCAGATATCATGGTTTTTACGTCCATTTTATTGAGACCTTGAATTTAAGAAATAAAACTTTAGCCAACTCACCACTGTGCATAGTATTGGATTCCGCATCAGCAACTTCCGTTCTTGACTTCTTCTGGTCCTCAGGCGATCCTGTGGTATCCATGTGTTCTTGTTTGATTTTAGGCTTGATATCTTCATCAGGGGAGCTCGATGGCATAGGTGATGTTGATGCTCTTCTTTTAGGTGTAGATGCTTCAACATCAGGTTCTGTATTGAAATAATAACTTTTGTAATGTTAAGGCAGTAAAGGAAACATATAATCTGAAACATGTTGTTTTGACTTTCGTGTTGTAAGCAAAATACTTATCAGTGAAACAAGATTATTCTGTAGTTTCATTAAAGATCTAAAAACATTATCCATTATAATTTTAAGTATTTCATTTATTTCTAATGAGCACCTATTTATTTATAATACTTTTAGATCATTCCTTAAGGCCATCTGTGGAAGAGTTCCTGCCCAGTATTGAGAAATAAAAGGCTAAAATATTGATATTTTTAATCTTCGATGAAACGATTTTACAATACACTAAACCGCTTGTAATGTTTTTGCATTTAAAGGTAAACTGGTTGACAAGGACTGGTTGACAATAGCATTAATAGCCCACCTTTTGTACTATATTCCATTTTTTATCTAAGTTTGAATAATTAATTACAGGAGGTCAGAAAGAAGAAAATGGTGGGATACTTGATACGATACGACGAACGTATGAACATCTCCATAGTAGACAAGATTAAAGGAAAGAGGGGAAGGGACAGACCATGGCATAGTTACATTAGGTAGATCAAGAAAAAGTTTGTGTCGTATCGTATTAAGAGGTGAAGAGATTCGCTAAAAATCTTAGTGAGTGGCAAGAGTTCTACTGGAAAGAGCACAGCTCTTTAATAGGAATGAATAAATAAATTACAATGATGGTAAAATGATTGTAATTTGTCTAATTTGGTACCATTTTATCTATTTTCAATTTATTTATTTTGAAATAAGGAAAATTACATACTTTGTTTCCTTTATCGACTAACGTCATGGGGATAAAGACAAGACACTAGAGGAAGGTGACTTTGTACAAAAGTCGTTTGCTTGGGCACTTCTGTCACATTCGTATTTCTACCGTGAAGCAGTTGTGTTAGCGTAGGTGTGTTTCGGTTTGAAGGGTAGGATATGGCAGTGAATTTATAGAGGAATAACAGTTGAGTCCTCAGAAATGGCAACGCATGGGGGGTATCATGGGTGAAACAGTATACTCTGTTATGTCCATGGTACTGCTCATGTCTATAGGCTACGGTTATCACTTTCCACCAAGTGGACCGTCAACTTGTGTGTCATTCTAAGTTGCATGAAAAAAAACAAAGGTAGCATATTGTATGTTTAGCTGCTTATTATTATTACATATATATAAAAATGTACTCACCGTCCAGTAGTCGTTTAGGAGTACTCGAAGCACCCCCATCTTCTAAAAGATCCGGAGGTGCTATCGAGGGGCTGGCTAATGGAGGAGTATGTACTCTGCTGCTCGGTGGTCTTCTCGCAGTCAGAAGTGAGGGTCTTCGACCAGCATTGCCTGTCGATACCTGTCCGGGTCTTGAACCATCTTCTTGGTCAGAGTTGGGCCCTATGCAATTAATTTTGATATTAATTTGAATAAGACTTGTTCAAATACTAAAACAGATTTACAGTTAAGCGTTATGCAGCCAAAATCAAATTGTATATAGAAATATAAAATAGTATTGGAATATTTAATAATTATTGTGTTGTTTAAAAGAAAAAACGATGTGGTCGGAGTATGAGTAATCATTATATTTTTTTTGTGAAAAACTTTTTAAATTATGTTTACATTGACATCAGTGATGATTGCTAACAGTAGTCTACAAACGTTTTATAGGTGAATTACAACAACGTTAAAATTAAAGGATTCTAAATCAATACACTAATGATACTTACCGGCACTGTAACAGTGGTAGGAGGTGAGGTCTTTATCACAGGAAGAGACTTTATGCTGAATGAACCGCACGATGTCTGCGAGGGCGAAGGCTCGTCTGCACGCCCCGCAGGTGAGGGTGTCGGCTGGAACCCCAGGAGTTGGGGATCCACCCCCCTCTGCCGCGCTGTCCGCATCCGCTAAAAAGACATTTAATTAATTTATATCCGTAATAATTAATTAATAAATAATTAATAATTAGAATGACGGAGACAATCCTGGTATTTGGAGTAAGTTCCTATGGTTGTTAATGCAGGTCTATGAGTATATTGGATTACTTTGTCCAAACTCAGGTTAGCCCTAATTAGCTACTGCTATTGTTTAATTTTTTTATTAACTTGAAATTGTAAAATAGTAGACGTTTAATGACGAAAAGTTATATTATAACTGACGTCCGTAGACATGAATGAATACATCATGGACTGTGTTTCGGTTTGAAGGGTGGGATATGGCGTGAATTTACTGGGTACAGAGGAATAACACCTGAGTCCTCAGGAATGGCAACGCATGGGGGATATCATGAGCGAATCAGTATACTCTGTTATGTCCACGGTACTACTCATGTCTATAAGTGACGGTTACCACTTTCCATCAGGTGGGCCGTCAGCTTGTTTGCCATTCTAAGTCGTATAAAAAAAAATATACTGATATGCTTATAATATCATCAGGTTACTGATATATCCAAGATGATATGTTTCTGTGCTCTGAATTTTACTGCTTTACAGGTGAATTATGCACAAAGTCTTCATTCGATATACCTACGTTTCGTTATTCTATAATAACAGATTGTGTTCTACACAAAAAACTGACTTTAATTACGTTAAAATTAGTTATTTAGATTTAAAAACTAAAGAACTAACCGATTTTGATAAAATGTTTGTGGGTTCAGTCAAAAAATTAAACTTTTCACATGAAAAAGAATTTTCCAAATCAATTTATATCTGATGTATATGAGGTTAAAAAAAAAAAACAAAAAAATACAACCGAATTAAAAACATCAATTTTGATTTTCGACTTTCAGTCTTCATGGCAGTAAGTTCAGTTCCATAAATACCATCAAACAAATTATCATGTAACGTTATGCATTGTATGGAATTAATTCCATACAAAATATTGAAAGGATATTCACGAGAAAACGTTAAAATGTTTAGCAACATTCGGCCACAGAACATATGGTCAATGACACTTTCTCAACCCTGTAAGTGTAAAATTACATATAATTATATGTTACTGAGTCACGGTCTTCAAAAATAAGGTGTCAGTTGCTGACCATTTATCTCCAAAGATACCGCTAACAGTTATACGACCGCGTGCTTTATTATTAAACTATTTAGGTTGTAAATTGTATAACATTTATTTCATTTTCTAAAGGGGAATAATTGTATTGCGGTTTACAAAATTTATAAAAGGGTTTTGTATCTTTGTTATGACGATTTTAATTTTTTTTTTTATTAAACTTAAGTATCATAAATAAGATATAATAATATGTTTATTACATTAATATTGTCATGGACATCAATTTATAATTTTAAATACCAGTTGGGTACCCAGTAGAATAAAATAAGAACGTGAATATATTTCTCGTTATTTTTTACTTGCTACTTAAAATTACCACATATATTGTTAATATATATATAATTTTCATTTAATCTCAAATACAATCGTTTCATTTGCTAGAAACGCCACCTAGCGTCAATAAGAAAATGTAGTAGTTAGATCCCAGCATTCTACGTTAAAGATAATATAAATATGACATTCAATTTACAACAAATGACTAGGATTAACATAACGATTCTTTAATTGAACAATTTATAAATTTTATCGTTAATTCAAAAATAACTTCTGTTTATAATAATAGTAGTCAATTTTCGAGTGTTGGCAGTCGCACACATACTAATGGTAGCGGAATGAACTACTGATATGAATCCCGCAAAATAATACCTATTTAGTAAGTAGGCCTAATTGGTAGTAGCTATACCTTCGGTGTCATTGAATAAGACAATAAGTAGTATAATAATATTATTTCTTTTATTAATTGTGGCATATTAAGGCCAATTGACGAAATGTTGACCACACACTACACATTTCAAACTTATCAGTAAAGATATAATGTAAACGTTTTTGTAACAAATGTCTAAACGAGATCTAAATTGTGATAACAACCACTTGATCTGGTCATCACGTAGTTTTTTATTTGTCGAATAGAGGACTCGAGAATTTGCAAGTAATAATAATAAATTCATGTACTGGTTACAAGTAGTATTTATGTGTGTGTTTTTATTTATTTATGTATTAATGTTATATTATTATTCATGTACTTTTATTATTTACATATGTAGGTATATAGAGCTGTTTTTATTGTATTATATATTCAATTTTTTTACTGGGTATTATTTAGTTTATCTTTAATTGTACGGTTATTACCCTTATACATTCTACAGTTTTCTTTCAGCTTCTCAAAGGTTGACTGTAAAAGATCCCTTTATGGGATAAGTCCGCCATTGTATATTAAATCATATACCAGTGTTTAATCCGAGTTATGTACAATAAAGATTTTACAATACAATACAATACAGGTCGGTACCAACGACAGAAAAAATAGAATAGAAATTTTTTGCAAACTGTAAACAGTAAATATTGCTTTATCAACAGTTACACTCTATCGGAAATGCAACAATTTTAGAGCAGGTAATTATCAATTATATAAATATTAAATTAAAGAATTAAATACTCTTAACAATATCTTAATATAATTGAAAATACTTAATTTTAAACTTCAAAGCGTTGTTTACACATATTTTAAATACACAATCGAAACTTAACGCGATATAAAAGCTTTTACAGGTAAATAGTATCTACGTACCTGCTTCTTTATTGCCGACGTTTTTGTCCCGATTGTGCATTTAAAATAATTGAAAATAAATATTAATTGCCATATTTGGCAATACAATTAATATAATAAAGAATAATAAGAATCAAATTATCAGTCAAATATAAAATTACATAAATGCAAAGTAAGTTGACATCATTTCGTTTACATTGTAAATTGTATTTTGTAATGGTGTTGCCCACCATTCTAGGTACCACAATCAAAGGGAAACTTTGCACAAAAGTCGCCTGCTTGAGTACCTTTGTCCCAATCGAGTGTATGTCATGAAACAGCTCTGCTTCCATTGCTGTATTGTCTGAATAGTGGGATATGACAGCAAAATTACAGAGTATGAAGACATACCATATTATTTCCGGGAGAAAAGGATTGGTAGTAATGGGGATTATCAATATAAGCTATCAGGTCGACCTCCTCGTAGTACCCCCTGGAAACCATCTCGATTGATTTATGGTGAAGTCGTTACTTACTTCATCCTTACCTATCACCCCATACTGGTGCTCCGCTAGCATATACCAAATAACGCTGGTTGGCTTAATATTTCATTATTATTCATAAAAAAAACTCTAGTTTTCAGGAATGGTAACGCATTAGACAGTACAGTATAATCTGTGATATTAATGTATTATGCCATTATTTTATTTAACATTAAAAATAAACTACTACCTGAAATTTAGGACATTTTTTGATACCTGATGCACTATTTAAATATGTATTAGTTATGGTTTAAGTACTTATATAGAAAACTTGATGACTCGACATTACTTTGTCAAATACTTTGAGATTAAATTTGCAGCTAGAAACAGTTTGTATGGACAAAATAAAAATGTGTTTTTTTTTTTTTGTTTTAGGCTAATTTGTTTCAATTATTCTCTTCATAGCAATTTCTCTTGAATCAAAATCCTCAACAAATATTTGAAGAAAAGGCTAATAGGTCTAGCTGTTCTACAGATTTGTGTGACGAAAAGGATTGTTAGTTATTGGGTCTAAAAGTCATGAAAACATCATGCTTAAATATATTTGAAAATCGTGATGATGGGCGAACTGACCGGCTTTCATCCTCACCTATCATCTGTCACTGGTACCCGCGGGGTTACTATTCCATTTTCACTCATTTAAAAAAAAATAAGATTTGTACTTTATTTATATAGATATATAAGGAACACAATCATTTAAAACAAAGGCACTTTCACATTCAAGTCAATTGGTCGGCACATCAAAGCCGGGCTAATTTCATATAAGTGCCGTAGACGCCCTTGTATTCCTTTTATTATTACTTTTCCTTCAATTTCATTGTAAATGCCGTACTTATAGGGGTACCTCCTTGTAACACGAGTACTAAATTAATACAGCGAAAAAAGCCGGTGATTCGACCGCTTTGTTGGCTCTACCTAGTTTGTATAGAGGGTTCCTTATGTAAATGTTATTGATGGTGATTTTTTCGTGATTCGTACGCCGCCGCTCGTGGCAAATGGTTATATTTTTTTTTCTTTGTTTCCTCTCGGATGTTTTAATAGTGTGTTATTTACTTCCGTGTGCGTATTCCCCTTAATAAATTGGGCGGCAATTGGTTTCACACCTCGAATCTCTTGAATAATTTAATAGAAGTAGTTGCGAATTAATATAATCATTTTGCACTTTATTTATAACAGTTTGTAGGTACATTTTTGATTATTTAATGAAAATGGATATTAAATAAAAGAGGCGAGCTTAATTTTGGTACATACATATTTATACTGCCTAGTATATTATTTTAACGAAATTGAAACACCAGAAAAGATTGTTTATGCAATGAATTATTCAATAAATAGTTTTTATAATTTACATTTGATATAAAATTAAAATATGCTTACATTTTTCGTATAGACGGAGACAATTTTCTTATAGATAGTCAGGGGAATTACGCGACTGCTACCGTCATAAACAACGTAGCTGTCAATTTGCCCATAATTTGACTATCAGTTAATTTTAAACTTTCGCTTTGTACACATATTTTAAATACACCGTCGGGACTTAATACGATGAAAAGGTAAATAGTGCCTACATATCTGCTTCTTTATTGCCGACGTTTCGATGTGGGAAAAAAATAAAGTCAAAACGTTGGCAATAACTGTATTTAAAATAAGTGGCCATCAATTTTGAGAATTTAAAGTCCATGGGGATGAGCCAATCGCAATACTTGAAAGTTTTCGATTTATTAATGGCATTTTCAATCACCGGAAAAATAATCAGAAATTTCAATCGACACCTTTT